TATTGTCTTGGTAGACAGTGATGGCCCTAGGCCTGACTGGCCATTAGGTAAAGTTGTCTCAGTCCATCCAGATAGTCAGGGGATTTTGAGAATAGTCAAAATCCTGTCCGAAGGAACAACTTCCCTGAAGACATTGGACAAACTCATCCACATGGAATCAGTGAGCCAGCTGCAGTTAGATCCTGAGAGACCTCAAGACACTCTAACTCCACAAGACCCACTGACTCCTAACAGACACAATCGTCCACAACGGACAGCAGCAGAAAAGTGCAAGCAAAATCTGCACTTGTATTATCAATCCAATGGAGAGTAAATAAATACATATGGTTACTATTGTCCTAAGTATTGGACTCTGTGCCAGTTCTCTCCCTCTGGAAGATGTGGGAAATTTTTACCCACCATATCTAATAATCATCTAAGAAATGTATAATTTCTATATATCTAAATCATATCAAAATCATATCTAATCGTATCAAAATCATAAGAATCATTAAAGATTCATTATAGCTTGATCCTGGATGACAATGGCACCATGAACACGTACGCAACAGGGGCCCTTTTGATGCCTACGTGACTTTGTACATGATCTTTCAAGGATCCAGAAGCTTCTAGAAGGACTTCTTAATTAAAAAACTATTGGAACATTGATTCAACATCCGGTAGGATTAAAAATCGAATCCTTAATAAGATTCAGTGGTACTTTCAAATACTACTTATAATCTTTAAATCTTATATCTAATTATATTATAATCACATCTTATCTTAATCATAAGTCTAGACTGTAAAAATAATCAATCAATATTCATAGAAGGCTACCGTGCTCAGAGAGCATGGTAGGGCGATGGGGGGAGTGAAGCGCCCACCAACGATGCCTCGCGGCACTCCGCGTTTGTTTACAAATGAGTGAACAAGTGACTGATCCTTAGCGAACATTACCAGCTCAAGGACACCTTATCTAATATTTTTATCGCCAGTGAATACTCTCTAGAACTGGGGGAGTACCTGGACAATATCTACAAGGAAAATCCTAGAACATTCACATAAAATAGAGTGTATAGTGGAGATCAGTGACACGGTTTCCTCCACCTTCATTCTTTATCTTTATCATATCATTCTTCTGCAAAGCAGTTAAAGAAAAATCACGTAGCAACGCTACCAGATCATCATACAGCAACGCTGTAGCAAAATATCGTGCCTAAACTCGACAAGAGAGTTAATCAGTCTGGCAAACTTGTCAGACAGGCACCCCGACTGGCAGAGAAGTATATTGAAGGTTATTTGGTGTATGATTGGCCAATTGTATGCTTGTGTAACTTTAATATCCTATAAATCTGTCTGTTGGTTAAAAAGCGAGGCTAAGCCTCACATTTCAGTAAGTTTATTAAAATTGTAGTGTAGCTGTGAATCTTATCCAAGCACTGAACCTCATGAGTGTCCATTCTGTCAGAAAAGAATTCAGCCTCAATAAGTAAAAACCTCACAAGTGTCTACAGCGTTGGAAGAGATTCACTCAAGCTAACTGTATAAATTGAATATGTCTGCATATATATTTGAATATGTAAATTAAGTTATCAATTGCTTGCTTAGTTAATTTTTAAGTTATCATATAAGTTCATTTAATTGAATATAATTTCTAGTACTTAACAGTATTTAGACTACATTTAAGGTCATTTATTTATACTTTTACAATTTAATTTGTTGTTTATATTATAAGAATCTATTGGCTGTTAAGTTATGGTACTAGGTTAGACTATGTATGTTTAAATCCCTGATTTAAACAGAGCCAGTGTTCAGTCAGATAACTGAATTTATCAAATCTTATCCTTGTATAAAATACAAGCTGATGTGAGATCCCTGTCTACAGGTGGATTGGAACTTCTATCAACAAGTCATTCTCCCCACCTGTCCCTTACAGCCCACAGTTTGTCATTAGGAAAAGAGGATCTAGGATTTACAACCCTAGCTAGAGATTTTAGTTGAATTAATTAGCAGACAGTGAATTTTTAATTTATTTCAGTACAAGTCCCTGGTAGTCTCCTCTTATATCAATCCCAACAGGTTTTTCCCACATACCCTTACCCCCCCCCCAACATTCAAACAACTTGCCTGTAGACCCCAGGGGCATAAACTCAAGGGATACCCGCTGACATTCACACAAAATTCGACATTGCCAAATCGGTTTTGACAAAAAAAAAAAAAAAAAAAAAAATCGCACAGGTGTTGACCTCATTGCTCCTACTGGGTGTTAATATCAATGGTTCTGTAAGTGCGATCCATCAGTGTATTAACAAGGCCAATGCCTACCTGCTGATTGTTCACAGGTGGGGTATTTAATGCGTAGTTCAACGTATGATGTTTTCTCACGCAGTGAGTCAAGGTACGTATCGTTGAGTCTTGACAGTAACTGAATGGGTAAGTGATTGGCGTGGTGACCACCGGCCAGGTCGGACGCTCCTGAGGTCTCTCCGCACTGGCTAGTGTTTACGTTGGGTGATTGCTTGTTTGCCCTGCTGGTGGTGGTTTGCCACTGACAGGGTGACGTTTGCCTTCGCCATGGGGTCATCTCGCCCTCCAGTGCAGAGGACATTGTCGGCTGGTCTAGCGTTTACGGTGCCGGTGGACCATCCATTGGTTGGTGTCGCCCTGGTGGACGTGCTTCATGTGCAGCTGTCGGACCTGGTGGGCGTCCAGCTGCTTCAGGGCAACCGTGCTGTGGTAAAGTTCCGCCTCCAGGCTGCCTTTCAGGTGTTTCTCGAGCGTTGTGAGGGGCGTGTTTACCCACTCCCTGATTCAGCTGGCTCAGTTAAGGTGGTGAATCTTAGTGTCACCTTGACGTCTGTGGCGGTGCATGGTGCCCCCTTCGAATTTCAGGACGACTTTTTAACCTCCTGTTTTGAGCGATTTGGGACCGTGTTAAGTGTTCGTTGGAACAAGGTCGTTGCCGGGCACTGTGTTGGTATGCTTGCCGGCTCCCGCACCCTGACGATGTCGCTGAAGTGTAGTGTACCGTCGTCGATGTCCGTGTTGGGTTACACGCTCCGCTGCTTGTACCGGGGTCAACCGCGCACCTGTTATCGGTGTGGTCACGAGGGTCACCTGGCTGCGGCGTGCGACGTGGGTGCAACTGGTAGGGTGCATGTTTTTCGTGCAGAGGATTTCCCGCCCTTGTTACGTTCGGACGGTTCTGAGGATGGAGTAGGTGCTGTGCCTGAGGCGCCTGATTGCCTGTCTGCTGCTCCGCCAGTTGGGGCGAGTTCTACGGCGACACGTCAGGTGACTGCTATGGCCCCTGGGGTTGTTGAGCCGGTGTGTGTGGGTGTCGGGCCGTCGCCTGAGCTGCGTGTAGTGAAGGATGTCTCGGTGGAGGTCCATGTCCCGCCCCCGCCTGTGGATGTGATACCGGCTCCCGGGAACGCGGGTTCTGCTGTTTTAGAGGGGGTGCTTCGGCAGGGGGAGGTGCCTGCCGTGTCTGTGTGTGTTGGTGAGTGTAGTTCTGCTCTTTCCGTCCCTTTGCAGAAGCGTGCGCGTCGGTGTTCTGAGGCTGTTTCCCTGGATGATGTGGACAGTGTGGGTGATGTGGCCTCTGTGGACTCTTCGGACGGTGCGGGTGTGGCCTGTGTGGATGTAAAGATGGTGGCCGTGCCTGCGGCGGGGCCTGCTGGGCGTGGTGTGGTGAGGCCTGTCTCGAAGCGTTCACGGCGGGCTCGGAGTGTGTCTCCCCTTCGTGGTGTGCCTTGGGAGGAGGTGGGGGAGTATGGTAATCTGGCGCCCCCCGCCGAGAATGGTGGTGCTGTGAGGGGCTCCGACGTTGCTACCTGTGCCTCTCCTCCTGCGTCTCCTGCTGTTGGATCTCCGCAGTGGGGGGTTGTCCCTGCTGATCGGGACCTCGTCGTGATGTTGCGGAAAGATGTGCGCCAGAGGGCCTCGGCTCCTGTGCCCGGTGGTGGGGTCGGTGCCGCGCCTGCCTCCCCTGCTGTATCCCCTCCTTCCTTGCTCCGGTCTGGGGATTGCCTAGTCCCGTCTGCTGGGGTCGTGCCCTGTGAGGGTCCGGAGTTGGGCCCTTATCGAGATGCCCGGGTGCTTCCGATCCCGTGGTGCTCGTCCACTGTCTGGGTGTCGCGGGTGAAGGAGTTTGTGTATAGGGTGCCAGATAGGATGTCTCAGCCGAGGGCGCCGCCTGGTGGCCGGCTGCCCGCTGACCTGCGGGTGATATGGGAAGCGTACTGCTTGCGCTTTCCGATACACAAGTTTCCGGAGAAGTATTAGTTCCCGTCTTGCGCACGCTGCTCAGCCGTGCATGGATCAGCTGCCACCGTGATCACGACGCCCCGCCCCCCGGTGCGGGGAGTCTCCCTCTAACGTTCGCCTCTGTTTTCGTCGCCACTCCTCTCTCTACGGCCCATCACATCTACCGCTTTTGCCTTTCTTCTCCTCCTGACCGTCAACGCGTCTCCTTACATCTGTCCTGGTGCAGTCATCGGGAGGGTTACCCCTTCATGCAAACTGCGCCTATTCTCAAGAAGAAGAATGGGTAAGTGAACGAGTAACCTTAGTCTTCGTTAACGAGCCATTATATCTCCGTTTACCTCAGCTCATCACTATTCACCTAAACACACATACAACCATACACCTCAGTGTATCAAAATACTACTTAGCACTATATACACATCAACATCTATCTATAACACTAAGAACATCATTATATGCTTCAGCATATGACTATACACTTCATCACATATAAATTCACCTCAGCACTTATCCATAAACATCACATCTCCTTACTCCTCAGCATATCACCACATTTTTCAACACTTTGTCACATTTGCTATTCGTAGTCAGTCGAGGCATTCCTATAAATGTAATATTACGGGCTCAGGATTCTAAGGGATAATCGAGGTATATGTGTTTATGTAACCAGATACTTTCAGACGCAATTTGTCATATTCATTGCAACATTAAAAATTCCCTCCTACTCTTTCTTATGATTCATAGGTTCTTAAATGAGCTCCAGTGCATCAGTGTTAATTCTTTCCAGAAGCAGTACCACAAGAACAGGAAGTGATGATGTTGCTGGTTATTATGCTGCTGAAGGTGGTGGCAACGCTGCTGGTGGCGGTGGTAGTAGCACTGCTGAAGGTGGTGGTAACACTACTGTTGGTGGTGGTAGTAGCACTGCTGAAGGTGGTGGTAACACTACTGTTGGTGGTGGTAGTAGCACTGCTGAAGGTGGCGGTTACACTGCTAGTGGTGGAAGAACCAGCCAGGCTCCTGCCAGGAGCGAACACTGGGTCTTGTTGGGAGACTCTCACATGCGTTTCGTCCTGGCATCTTTGGTCACACGCTTCAGAAGCCCCACACTCCAGTACCGAATAGGAGAAAAGGTGAGTAATATTAAGAAGAGGCATAGCTTTTGTCACGAGGCTAGTTGTACTATCAAGACGTGACAGTCATGAGGCTAGTTGTACTATCAAGACGTGACAATCGTGAGGCTAGTTGTACTATCAGGACGTGACAGTCTTAATAGTACAACTCTGCAACTCTGCAGCGTCCACAATTAATTCACTGCGGCTGTCTGTAGCAGAACAGTAGTAGAAATTTATAGTGATTCATTTGCAGTGACAAAAAGAATAATGAAACAAATATGCGATGAAAATTTTACTGACCTATTAATTTACAAAATCTGAAAGCTGTAGCATTAAATAGTATGACGAATACAGGAGGAGACATATATATAGTTGGAACTAATAGAGCATAAACTCGACAATGCTATGCTATAGGGGAGAAAATATCTCTGGGATAAAGATGTTTCTGGAGGCTTCTTTAAATTCAAATGTCGAATCCACAATGCGCGTCAACTTCATGAAAGAGAAAACATGCATTCCCTTGAGCCTTATATTGTAGAATGTCCCTTATTGACCGAGTTCCAATCCCCTGGGTTGAGATATACAGAACTCAGTATATACTATCTGAATAATTGAACACTTGATGATACAGTGGACCTGTAACCAAGATTTATTATATAATAAACCAATTATGTAATGCATGCAATAACTTGATCTTGTAAAAGTTCTTTAATTACAGTCTGTGGCCTAGTGCTTGCCTTTCTGTGATATTATATGGTCAAATTATCCCTTTGATGGCCCCCGCCTGCAGTTCAGACTGCTGCTGAATAATAAGGGCAACATAATAAACTCTTTCATCCAAAGTTAGATCTTGAGTGATAAGACCATATTGTAAACTAAGAAATATATTACAAGAAAACAACAACAACTATACTGTAAATTTTCTTTAGACTAACCTAAACTGTGCCTGTATATTCCTGTTGATTGGTCAACAGGTGAGTCGGAGTAGTTTGGGATGAATCAAGTCACCAAGAAACAGTATATTTAATCTAGTAATTAAGCCGGGGGAATGAGTTGGACAGTGGCAGCCAATGGGTGTAGTCGTCTGTCACTCCTGGCTGCTGTTACTGTCTAGTAAGCCCGCTACGTCTCCTGGGCCAACCCGTCCTTACACAGGGTTGTTTAAAGCAGCGACCGTCCTCCCCCAGACGCATTCTTAAATTTTATTATACTTATATTAAAAATTGGTTTGTTCTCATATATAAATTAATATTATTATACATAAAAAAATGTATATAGTTAGGCGTAGGTTGGGGTTTGGTTAGGCATTTAGGTTCTGTTTGCGATTATTTTTATTTGAAGTAACTTACCTTGCGGTTACCTGTAAGGATTTCGGACTCAACGTCCCCGCGGCCCAGTCCTCGACCAAGCCTCCTCGTTGTTCGACTGGTCAATCAGGCTGTTGGTCGCGGCTACTCGCAGCCTGACGTATGAATTACAGCCTGGTTGATCAGGTATCCTTTGAAGGTGTTTATCAAGTTCTCTCTTGAACACTGTGGGGTCGGCCAGTTATACCCCTAATGTGTAGTGCAAGCATGTTGAACGTTCTGGGGCCTCTGATGCTGATAGAGTACTCTTTTAGAGTACCTATTGCTCCTCTGATTTTCAACTAGAGAATTCTGCACATCCTGCCATGCCTTCTGATATCATGTGATGTTATTTATGCCCTCTAATGTTTCCCAAGTGTAAATTATTATGTATCCCGCCTGCGCTCAAGTTATCAAGTTATTTTCAACCGGTTATTTTTCATGCAGTTGTGACGGCTACATTATTGTTTTCATTAAAGTTCTTCCGATATAAGTACACCCAAATCCTTTACATTGTTTTTTTTTCGTTCTATGTTATGATTTGACTGCGTTTTGTATGTGGTTTCTGTTTTTATAGTTTTATTTTTTCCGTAGTGTAAGAGCTGGACTTATCTTCGTTATATACCATAATATTTTCTGTAGCCCATTGAAAGACCTGATTTACAGTTGATTGGAGGTTTGCTGTGTCCTCTATGTTATCTACTCTCATAAAAGCCGTAGTGACATCTGCAAAGGATGATATGGTACTATAGTTTGTGTCCTTGTCTATGTCTGATATAAGGATGAAAAAGAGTACTGGAGCAAGCACCAGTACCAGTTCCCTGGGGAACTGAGCTCTTCAAAGTTGATTGTCTGGATTTTTGTTGACTTATACATTGAGTTCTGTTAGTAAAAAAAAGTAGATCTATCTGCATATTTTTCCGGTAATTCCCTTTGAACGCATTTTAAGTGCGTTCTTACACCATGGTCACATTTGTCGAAGGATTTTGGAAAATCTATGTAAATTACATTAGCGTTTTGTCTTCCATGGCATCTAAGGCGATGTCATAGTGGTCCAGCAACTGTGATAGGTAAGAGTGCCCTGTTCTGAAATCATGTTGTTCAGGGTTATGGAGATGCTGTAATTCCATATATTTTGTGATCTTACTTCATAGCACTCTTTCAAAGATTTTTATGATGGATGATGTTAGTGCTGTGGGAACCGACCTCTGAGATTTATATTTACATTAATTTATATTTTTCGATAGCAATTTGTATGATGTTAGGGGACTGTATTTCTGCAATAATCTCACAAATCGACTCTTACACATTAGAGGGGGTTTATATTAAATTTATATATATGCAGCCAATCAAACTACAGAATTAAACTACATATATTAGTATAATAAAATTATGAGGCCTTAGCAACTGTACTGCTTCCTCTTCTATTATTCCTGTCAAAGGGCACTAGCTGTAAAGCCTGAATCCTAATATATGACAGCTGTATCAGATGAAACATTTGTTATATTATTTGATAAGGACCAAGGATTAATTACCTGTATTGAGTCATTGCCTCAGGTACTAACCAGAATTAATCCTATTTACCTAACATTACTGGCCAATAGGATTTCGGAAAGACACTTCCCTTGTTTTGGCGTTGACTGCGTGTGATGATGGTAGAAGCACTAATTTGATCTCCATAACACTTTGTCCAAGGGAACATATAGGAGCTGAACTCACTCCCCAGTGACACTGTTTTTAACAATGGCTGACTTCACTCACCACTGATGCCTCGCTCTCCTTGTCCAGATGTCAATAAGTGATAGAAGGGTCACATTTACTCTATTTTGATACTGATAATGAAGTAAATTCAAATGAGATGATTTACGATGTTATAAGTCCAAAGACTACGGCATTTAAGAATAATCCCCAACAGAGCAGCTGGTGAATTTATAGCGCTATGTGGCAATGATATCTTGTTTTCTATTGATGGAAATTTCCACTGTGCTACATTTTCTATGGGTTAACTTGTGTATACAACAGCAGTAATATGTGTTTATTGTATTTAATATTAGTAAATGGTGTCAGGTTTTCCGACATAATTCCTGGGGGGCTGCTCACGGGTCGAAATCCTATTTAGAACAGATGAACACCGATGCTCCTCCTTTGAATTATTAGATTAATTTGATGTTAGTAGTTAGTAATCACACATTTGTGAGTCTGTTCGTACAGGACGGATGTCCCGTACTCAAGTTGCAGGGGTTAGAAGTCTAATGCAGTTTTATTTCCCTGTTAACTCTTTGGGATGCTAAAATTCTAGCCTAATTACATATCAACCAAGAAGATGGAATGTGATCAAGTACTACAGTCAACAAACAAATCGACAAGGGCCGTGACGAGGATTCGAACCTGCATCCGAGAGCATCCCAGACGCTGCCCTAATTGACTGAGCTATGACATGTTCAAAAGGAGTTGAAACCGAAGTTCTACTGAACTTACTGGAGCCTGCAGCCTCTCCGAGGCACAAACTAGGGTTTTACACAACTCCCCCCCCCCCCACTGGTTTGTTCCTCGGAGAGGCTGCAGGATCCAGTAAGTTCAGTAGAACTTCAGTTTCAACTCCTTTTGACCATGTCGTAGCTCAATCGATTAAGGCAGCGTCTGGGATGCTCTAGGACACAGGTTCGAATCCTCTTCACGGCCCGTGTTGATTTGCTCATTTGATGCATCATGCAATTGTGATTTCTGTGTGTACTACAGTCAAGTATGATGTGAATGAAAAAAAATGTGAAGGGCCTGTGATAGTGTTTTTATTACAGTTCTTGATGAATATAAAGTTAAAAAAATCAGGGCCTGGTGCAGAGTGCATAGGCATACTGTCTATGGCTTCTTAAAAATCAAGTGGGTACAGGGTGACATTAGATATATGATTTGATGTTGGTATCACATCCATTAAAAAATCCTTTTGTGTTATTAATCTTCAGTGTGTTTAGCGGCTCGCTGAAAACAGAGTTGTTCTGATTCCTCATTATTTCGTTCATTTCTTTGATGTCATTAGTGAAAGTTTCATCTCCCTTTCGAAGGGGCCCGATAATAAATGTAGTTTTTTTATCTTGATTTTGCATAGGAGAAAAAATATTTCGGATTTCTCCCTATTTCACTGATGGCCTTTTGCTTTTTTTGTCTCCTGGATTTTGAAGGATTCTTGTAGCCTTAGATCAATCTTTTTTTTTTGAGATATATACAAGAATTATTACATTCTTGTATAGCCACTAGTACGCATAGCGTTTCGGGCAAGTCCTTAATCTTATGGTCCCTGGAATACGACCCTCCATGAAGAATCGTTTTTACAACCATGTACCCATTTTACTTTTGAGTTAAACAGAGGCTACAGTTAAGGATTTGCACCCAGTAAATCCTCCCCGGCCAGGATACGAACTCAGGACAAAGCGCTCATGGAACACCAGGCGAGTGTCTTACCACTACAACATAGAGATTATATCTCATATTTTTCTATTTTGACTATTTTTTCTAAAATTGACTATTTTTATTTTTCTACCTAGCCTTCTTCGTCGTTCTTGAGATAGGCTGTGACTCTCAAGTTTTTCTGATATTCGTTTTCTTCCCTTATAGAGGGAAAGCCGTTCATTTTTCAATCTGCAACTCTTCCTCTTTTTTTTCTTAGGGGTATGC